CCACCTGAATTAATTAACAATGTATTCCAACAGGCGAGGAACACATCTTTTCCTTCCATTATCTGCAACCAGTGAGTTATCTTGTAATAACTAGAAGTTTTGAATACAAATGCGAATCAAATCTTAGGAAAGCTTAAGGAACGAAGGAACATTGGAGGAAATTAGGATATCTAGAAACAAAGCAGATAAAATAGAACTGCTTTGACGTCGGCGTATGAAAACAGTTGCCGGCTTTCAGTTGCATGTAAAAGTTCGCTTTTGCTACAGAGAATATAGTTAACTAAAGGGGGTTACTAAAGAGCACGAAAAAAGAACCTTTAATAGAATTTTATACGCGAATGGTGCCTCGCCATCACCTAGATCTATTTAATCATTTTGGAATTCTAACGCATCATGTTGTAATCTTGCCATAAACATAAACCATAAACTTAAACGTGCAGCCATGTCCTTTGGAGAACACGATGAAAATTTGAAGCACTCTCACGTGCACGTAATTGCATGTTATCACACAGTATCTAATCGCGATCAGTATTTAGATTTTGTATCTTTAGTCTCTGGACAGCTCAAAGTTTGTCCTCTTTCATCTACTTTCTGGGGTAGATTCCCAGCTTGTAAACATCTTTTCACATTCAACGCATTTGCTAATGAGTTTTGCATCTATATTCCCTTCATTTGAAATCTCTTTTTGCTAACTTGTCATAAATTTTATTGTAGTATAGTCTTAACAACGACAGTTGAACCAAATACAGAGAGTAATAAAAAAAACGAAAACGAAAAGGCAAAACAAAAACCAAAGAAAGACAAAAACGAAATCAAAGAAAAAAGCCAAAGTGAGCTTTGAGGAAAGGAAAAACAGCCGTTGATCCGCCTCTTGAACAAACCGCAGTTCATGGGCACGTTGCATAAACGACTGATCATACACGTATGCGATTGCAAGACATCGTTCAGTTGGAAACTCAAAAGCGCGAAAATTTACGAAGATTATCGAAGGAGTGAAAACCTTTTCAAATGCATGGAACAATACCAAAAATGAAGTTTGTTCTTCGGACATTTTGAGATTAGATTCGTATATTCAGCTTTTGTTTGTGATCACACCGTTTAAGTAATTAAAAGACGTTTTCTTGTTCAGGTTTCACATTTGACGGGATGAAAACGTCTTGGGTGAAAAAACCACCTTACCACGCAACATGCGTCTGGAAGCTTTTGTCGTATTTCAGGGCCAAAGAAGGGAAACTTACCCCCTTTCTAATTGAAATCAAGACTTTTTTCACCCGAGGAACTCATAAATGTCCAATTCCAAGCCCTAGTTTCATAATGTAGTGTGTGAACTCCTTGGACCCCAAGAATTAAAAATTGAAATTTGTACCCAATTTTGAGCCCAATGACCTGAGAATTTATTTCTTAAAATAAGCACCAGAACAACACATTAACCCATATTTTCGAGACCATACAGATGATTTCCACTGATAATTCACCAGAGACAAGACTTTCTACATAAGCTAGTCGTGTAGTTATACTGCATGATATTTATACTATTTAGACTAAATCTAGCCCATATTTGATATCAGTGAATAAGTTTTTAAACAACTTTCAAACGTGATAAATGTAGTTTACAAAGTTTGGGTCTCTCAAAATAAGGCGGGATTTACATTATAGAAAATCTATTTAACCTCCGGTTAACCATTTTCAATGTTCTAGATTTACCTACGAGTATTTTTTAAGGTATTTCTATCGTTGTTGATGACTTCCTATTGTTCTTTATCTAAACTTGCAAATGAACCTAAATACTACACAGCAACTTGGTTGGCTCTGTTGCACGCAGGACAGCACCTAAGGAGATTTTTTAGACCTTGGCGATAATTTCCACTGAAAATACAACAGATGCATGGGTTTATAGCACAGTTTGAAATTCTTAGCAGAATTGAAATAACTATGAAATAGTGGACGCCGCGAGACGCCGTCATATCGCTGTCTGATGCATAGAAGAGAAGGAACCAACAGATGGTGTTGGGCAGCCAGCATACTGCGAATGTTAACACGATGGCGATGGACATCTTCAGTACATTTCTCTCTCTCCTCAAACGTAGTGCTCTTGCATTGGCTGATTTCTCGCCTGGAATCTTCTGGGATTTTAGTTTGAAAAAAACTGTCATGTAAAGTATGGCAATCAAAACCATAGGGGCAAGCCAGAAAACTACAAGCATTGGTACTGCGTAGTTTCGGAAAGACGAGGAGTCCCCAAATGCGTCGTTCCATTTGTGCTCACATGACAGCCCTTCTTGATTCTCAACAAGTTTAAAGCTCAGCAGGTCTGGGATATGAACAGCGGCACCAATGATCCAAGTGGCGAGTATGAAGAACCAGCACTGCTTTGAACTGATGAGTGAGGAACGGAGGGGAAAAAATACTGCTCCAAATCGATCCACTGCAATTAAAACCAGGCTCTGAATCGACACAAGACAAGAAGTATTTGGCAAAAAGAATACTAGCTTACACAAGGCTTGTCCAAGGGGACCACTCGTCAACCAGCCGAAGTTAATCTTCGTTACAAAGTACGGAAAATGGAAAATCGGTAATATCAGATCTGACATGGCCATGTTTGCGATGAAAAAGTTGCTTGGGTTTTGCATGGATTTCGTCCTGTAGACAATAATTCCGATGATGATATTTCCGATCAGTGATACAACGAAAATCAGGCAATGATAGAAGGTCAGTCCAATTCTTGTTGCTTCATGCATACGGTTGAAGAAGCTTAATGCTTGTGTTCCATTCATTTGAGCAGTCAAGTTTGCCGACATCCTCATCTGACTGAAACTGAAGTCAGTGTCTACAGCTGGTAGTGTTCTACTTTTGGCGGCTGTTCTTAAACTTTCATTTCATAAAACAAACCTGATTATTAACATTTTTAATACAATTTCTCGAGGCAGAATCGTTATGAGTAAATTGTGATTGACACTCAAAGCTTCCTCTTGTCATAGCTGAGATAAGTTCAGTTGCAGTTTATTCTCGTTTGAGCGAACTATTTAGTTCCATTCTATTTCCTTCACTCAAACGCAAATCCACCAGTCGTTTTAAGTCATAAAAGTATCCTAAAATGTAAATAATTCAATAAAACTTACTCATTTTATTGCTCCCAGCAAAAGTCTTTTGTCCCTATCTTAACATAAGAAAACATCTGGTTTTTTTTAAAGAATGACATGTTGTTTCTCTGTTAAGCCTCGAACATTCTGAAAAACTATTTTTCACAGTGCTTTTGAAGACGTTTTATGTCGCTATTTAAGTTAATCAAAAATCGGGGAAAATTTGTTATCGAGCTGTTGTTACGGTCGCTCTTTTTTCTTGGAAATAACCAATACATGCATAAACATTTCAAACAAAATAACGTGCCAAGTAGAATGAGAATAATCATTTTCAAATATTATTTTTTTTCAACAACAACTGGGAATCAACGATATGAACTAACGAACTCAAATACAACACATCATTCGTTTTTTTGTTGGTCGCAAAACATGTGCAACAATCGTATCTACTCGTGATCCGCGATATCTCATGTTAATTCTAAAAGTCTTTGAGCAGCTAGTTATCTCTTCAAATGTCTTCCATCTATATTCTGGTTGGCCTTCTGGAGTAGATTTACAGCTTATAAACATCTTTTTTCATTTCATACATCTACTGTTGCGTTTCTCATCGAAAGTTTCTTCATAGGACATCTATTTTCGTTGATTTCTCTTTCATAAATTTTATTGTTGTATAGTATTAATTATGGCAATCAGAGAGTGATTAAAAAAACAGAAAAAGCAAAAACAAATTACAAAACAAATAAACCGAGACAGAAGAAAAAGTTTACAAAATAGAGGAAATATGCCAAAGAGAGAGATGAGTAAAGGAAAAAAAGATTGTCGATTCCTAAAACCAGCCTCTCGAACGAACCATTTCATTGGCACCGTGCATAAATGTTCAAAATGTATGCCGTCTGTTCGGCCTCGTTCGGCGCTCAGCAAATCTTCGAATATGTCTTTCAGCAAGGAGAGGAGGATTCTAGAAGAAGGGAGATTCTAGGAGGATCGCATGTCGTCGCCAATAGTGTATAAAGTGGAGACTATGAAAACTTGACTACCAATGACGGGGATCATAAGATCACTGAACCTTATGGGGGGCTTATAGGGGGATAAGGAAAATTTTATCGAGACACAAACAAAATTCTCCGAATCCCTCCCTACTCCTCCGTAAAGTAATGCAACAATAAGGGTAGGGTGGGTAAGACTAAACAATGGATCAGCGATAGCTTAAGTGAGCTGGTACTAAAGTTCCCACTTTGTAACCCTTTACACCCTAACATCAGTATGCATATTCTCCTTACTATTCTTCATCCATTTCCCGAGGTTTTCATTGGGAGAATTTGTTTAACAATCAAGAACTTTAGTTGGTGATCATTTTCTTCATTCTCGTGACCTTAATAAGTGGCTCTAGGGTGATATTGTAAGGAAAATTAGATGCGTGTCACTCTTACTGGTCAAGGAGTTAAGAAAGAACTGTTTTCATTTCCTTTTCAATTTTTATTTCCTTTCTAAAGACAATAATGGAATATCAATAACAAGACTTGCAACTTAAAGGGAAGATGACCCTATGCACTGTACATATGCTAGTCTTATTTTCAAGTATTTTTGCAATAGTCACAGAACTACCATACCGAATTTCTACTTGTTTCTCTTTAAATGAGACTCCCGTGGCTGAGTAACGAAATCATGGTGTATATTGAAGAAATTCTACCGCCTAACTGGTCAAGAGTCATTATCGATAAGGTACCAACAATTTAAATGACGTCATAAAACGATATACTTTCGAGAGTATTTAATATAAATCTATTGAATCAGTTGTGGCTATAATTTCTTAAATGAAATTTTCGTTTCCCATGGTAACTTTTTGTAAGTTGCAAATTAAAAAGTTCTGCAAATAAATCTTCAGTGTCTCGGAGAAACACGGAAACAGTCGGGTCACGATTACACGACAGCTTTATAAGCCCTGGGAGAAGCTGAATAACAGCTAAGAAGATTTGTTAGGGCCTGGCGATAATTTGCATTGGAAATAAAACAGATACAAGGGTTTATGGCGCAGTTTGATATTGCTAAAAAATAGGCAATAAGTTGGAAATATTGGAAACTACAAGACAATTTGACGCCATCTAGGCGCCAAATGACAGAGAAAGGCAGCCAACAGATTGCGAAAACAAACACTATTAAAATAAACATTCTCAGAGCATTTCGATGTCTCCTCAAACCTTGTCTCCTTGCGTTGAAAGAATAGTCCCTCGGAACCTTCCGAGATTTGATTCTTAATGCAATTAAAAAGTAAAGTACAGCAATGAGGATTAGAGGAATGAATAAAAATACTATGTGTTTCGCGAGGATGTAATCTTGGTAGGAAAAGGACTCTCCAAATGCATCGTTCCACAGCAGGTAACACTGCAGCCCTCCTGGATACTCGACGACTTTTAAGGCGAACAGATTTGGGCATTGAACAGCTACAGCGATGATCCAAGTGGCAAGAATATAGAACCGGCACTTCTTTGAGCTGATGAGTGGGGCACGGAGGGGAACAACCACACCTCCAAATCGATCCACTGCAATCAGTACCAGGCTTTGAATTGACACTACCGCGGAGGCATCCACTGAGAAGTGAACCAACTTACACAAAGACTGGCCGAAAGGACCATCTCCCCCTTTCCATGATTCGGTGTATAATCCTACCAACTTCATCGGAAACAGGAAAATCGGAATGAGCAGATCTGACACGGCCATGTTTGCGATAAAGAAGTTGACGGGCTTTCTCAGGGATTTCGTCCTGTAGATAATTACTCCGATCAAGGTATTTCCAACCAGCGAAACTACAAAAAGCAGACAAAAAGCAAAAGTCTTTCCTTTTTTAACAACTGAAGGATCAAGGCAGTTCATTGCTTGCGTTCCATTCATCGTGGTGGTCACGTTAGCCAACATTTTTGGAACTGAGAGATAAGTTTTTCTTCAACAGCCAGCACTTCGGCTCTGACTCTTGAGACTTGCTATACTTTTATAAAAAAAAAAAACACACCCTATTATTAACATATATATTAAAATCATTATATTAAAAATCACCATGAATTATAAGGAAAGAAAATTACTGCCAATTGGTACTAAAAAACCTTCTCCCGACTAAAGCTGAGATAGGTTTTAGTTTCAAGCAACCGTTGTTTGGAAAAACTATTGTTTCTCAAGCCGTGAGCATGCTCGATGACATGAAAAATTTAGGAGACTATCGATAGCTAAGTTATGGAGTGGACGCGCATCGAGAAAATAATTTATTCCCGTCACGAAAACTTTAATCTTTACATTTTCATGTCCATCGTTTAAATTTGCGATGACTCAATTTCTGGATTTTTCTTTCATAATTCTATGATTTACAAGTCAATAAATTCAATTTTTTTAATCATTTCCAGTCATTTCTTTTTGTGTGATTGTGTCTTTTGGGGTCTTAATGCAAAATTTTGTGCTATTACCGCATTGAAGAGGGTCTAAATGAGATAATGGCTTTTACAGCTGATGGTTTAAAGTTTGACCATTTTATGGCTTCAGGTCAATTTGTTTTCGTTTATACGTGTAAAAAAAAAATTGTTACAGAAAACTCTTTTTACGACTAAAGGGCCAGGTTTGTCAATTTTTACGCCTAACGGCTAAATTTGTTGCCATTTTACGGCTAACGACTAACCCCATCATATTTAAACTTTCAATAAAGTCGCAAAAATTCATGACATCTTTGGAATAAATCCACTCTATCGTAAAAAAACTCTCAGGATGACGGTGAAAAAAGTGTAGAGGAGCAGCTGTTGTTTCCTTTCACCCGCTAGTGAGTAATATTCGAACAATAAGAGAGGTGAGTTCTAGTAAAAAAAATAAAAAAGAATCCAAATGCAAATATAGAAGAAAATCTAAAGAGTGATTTTAGGATTGAATTTGAGAGCCTTAATATCTAAAAATTAGCGCAACCCCATCATTCGATCACCATTTCATGTGCCGTTAGCGAATAGATATCTCTGTCGTTCCTTACCTTATAGCCTTGATTGATAACTGTTGTAATAACGGATTTCCAAAACAAGTTTTTAAATATTAGAATACAGTTAAGGCTTGACCATCATATGAACCTCGCTAGGCTGCAAATTCGGCCGGTCCTTCTGGTGAAAGCAAGATTAATTGAAATTCCATACCAGTTTGCAAACACTGAAATCCACATTACTTATACCAGACTTCGGCTTTGACTTGAAATGTCTTTTGATGAAAACTGCTTGCGATATAAATTTCATTAGTCTGAACGCAATTAACCAGTTTTCTTAAGTAGTATACCGCAGTTCTCAAAACAAAGTCGCGGAAAAAAATATTGTAACATCCTACCGCGAACAAAAAGTTATTATTTGTTTTTAGCATAACTCTTCTGGGTAGGCCCGAACAATTAAAGGATATCAATTCAATAAGCTTTGACCAATGATTGTATAGTTGAGGCTTATGTAAGAAAACAGCTTGCTTTGTTTAAAGTATGACATGCCGCTTCTCAGTAGTGTGTTATTATTCGTTAAGATGTGTTTAACACAGCAGTTCTGAAGGCTATCAAGGTCGCCAAATGAATAATCTTACGCCATGAACATAAAAGATTCAAAGACCAGTTGTGATTATTGCCTCGAATGATGCCAAAACAATGAATGAATGTTATTGTTTTGAGTCTGAGTCTGTATAACCTCTCAAGGCACGAGTTAGGTTGGAAGAATTAGAGAAAGTTGTACAAACCCGAGACGCCGCTCAGGGTTTGCATAAATTTCTAGAATTCTCCCAACCCCGCGGGTGTTTAGAAAGATTATGTAAACATGAAAAGAGTCCTGTATTACTTTTCTGAAATATTTCTAAAATTATTCGTCAAATTAAGACACGAAGTGTCAAGTGCAACACTGTTTACACACTCTCATCTAAATTCACCTATCGACTAATGAGAGTGCGTGCGCTATCTTAGATATTTTATAGATACAGTACCACCTCGAAAAAGCGCCCACGCTCTATAGCCAATAAGCGCCTTTATTCTCCAGAATAAGCACCAATCCCTGAGCCATAAGGTCACAAACAACCGCCCCCCTCGAATAAGTACCCCCCGCAATCTCCCTTACTTTCTTAAATGAGTAGGGATAGAAGGAAAACCTGTTTCTATTGTCGCTTAATTTACATTTTCTCTATTGAACTAAGTGTCTACATAGATAATTTGTTATAGAAAACGTAGGAGCTTTTGTTATCCTCTTACAGATATCATGGCGCCAAAATATAGTTAAAGTTTGTCGAAAGGAAAACTTAATGAGCGCCCCCTCGATTAAGCGTCCTCCTTCCAATTAAGCACTCCTCCTCAGTGTTGGGCGAAATTTTAAACAAACGCACGGTTGCTTATTCGAGAAAATACGGTAGTTGCAGCAACCTTGAGGGTGCGCATGAAATGAATATACAGTTGCTCAAAAAGATAAATTGAAACTGGGTTTACGATCACACGATAATCAAAGATGGCGAGATCGGAAGTTACTTCTGTTCTTTCTTACAATGTAAACAATATTTTTTCGGTAATTCAAGGATATTATTTTTCAAACTCAAATACACTATACAACTCGCCTTTTTTTTTTATTGCAAAACTTGAGGACAAGCGGTGGATATACCAAATATTGTGAAATTCAACGTATGCTAGTTTCCATTTGGACTTTAAGACCCTAATTTTTTACACGACAACGAGTTTCTCATCTTTGATCTAGTTTATGGAGTAGATCAAGAACTTGTGTACATCCTTTAGTGTTATGCATTTTGTGCGCGAATTCTTTGGTGAAATGTTTTTCATCTAGTTTCGTTTACTTTTTTACTGTCTTGCTTAAATTCTGCCCCAATTATTTTTCAGTTGACACTTTTCAAATGAAACGTGCTTCAGTTTTTACATGCCAAACTAGATCAATGAAAGTTTAATTTTTCATGTAAAATGAAGTTTAATTTTTCAGCTGTTTCAAAGCATTTATTGACCAGTGCCAGGATCACATGAAACGAACGTCGTGGCCCAGCGCCCGCTCGGCCCATGCGCGATGGCACGAGCAGTCTCGAAAATGGCCTGAGCGTGGGGGGGGGGGGGGGAAGGGGAGAGACGGGCTGCGAGAAGAGGCAAGTAAGGAGAGGGGATGAAGGAAGAGAGGAATAACTGCAGAGGATTCAAATGAAAAACTGCACTGTTCGCTAAGACGGGGGGGGGGGGGGAGGGGAGAGACGGGCTGCGAGAAGAGGCAAGTAAGGAGAGGGGATGAAGGAAGAGAGGAATAACTGCAGAGGATTCAAATGAAAAACTGCACTGTTCGCTAAGACGTGATAAATATTTATTTAAGCTTCTGATTCTTCTTCGTCATCAAATTCTTCTTCATCGACCGTGGCGTCTTGGTACTGCTGGTATTCAGACACCAGATCATTCATGTTAGACTCAGCCTGTTAAAATAAAATCATCAAAATAGGCATAATTACTAAGATAACACAAAAGAACGACGAAGAAGACTGAGTCAGAGCTCTGACGCGGGACCAACGCTCGAACGTCAGCTTTGAAACTCTTAAGGGTGGCCAATTTACGTTATCAACTCAGTTGATAAGACCCAATTACCGTGATATCACCCATGCTGCAATCTGATTAGCTGCGCTACTCGCTATCTATACCGTGATAAATAATGAGTAATGGCAGCAGCCGTACTGGTCTGTCTTGCTGCTAAATTTTCAGAGAACTGGCAAATGTATATCATGCACTTAGATTATTTACGATCGATTTCTATGCCTGTTATTTGATTCGCGTTTCACCCTCATCAACTATCTCGCGATAGGAATCTTGAGTTCATAAATTTGTTGTTAAACAGAGACCTGAAAGCACTGAATTAATTTCTTTTTCTCACCTCAGTAAATTCCATCTCATCCATTCCCTCCCCGGTATACCAGTGTAGAAATGCTTTGCGTCTGAACATGGCGGTAAACTGCTCGCTGATTCTTTTGAACAGTTCTTGAATGCTTGTGCTGTTACCAATGAAGGTCGCTGACATTTTAAGCCCGCGAGGAGGTATGTCGCATGCAGCAGTCTTCACGTTGTTTGGAATCCATTCCACAAAGTAGGTGCTGGAATTGAGATAATATGACATGAGCAGTTCATAACTAATGGATAAGAATATTTGAATTTTTTAAAAAAATTTATTTACTAAATTCGCCCGGAGGCAGGGGGACATACAATAGAACCCTAGGTCCTCCGCTGGGTAAGCCCACCACCTAACCATTCCCCTAAAAAGTTGACAACCCATTCCTTGGAACCCTAATAAAATAATAATGAAAAAAAAAAATGAGTAAAATGAGATCCAGGGGTTTTTTGGAATGTTGTTCTTTGGTATTCTATGTTAGGTGTCCTCTATCATTTTGAGAAGCTTAATAGGGCCCTCACTGTGCTGGATGTGGCTAATATCTTCTTGGAGAGTTTTCTTATTCCCTTTACGCGCTGACGACAAATATTTAACATATCTCTTCATTACCTGTTCTTGTTCTGAACATTTAGCATCTGCTCGTCAACCTCCTTCATGGACATCTTCCCACGGAACATGGCAGCCACAGTGAGGTACCTTCCATGACGCGGATCACAAGCAGCCATCATGTTCTTGTTGTCGAACATCTGGTGAGTTAACTCGGACACAGTCAGTGCGCGGTATTGCTGATTGTCCCGGCTGGTCAGTGGTGCAAAGCCTGGGATGAAAAAATGCAGGCGAGGGAATGGGACCATGTTCACTGCCAACTTCCTCAGATCGGCATTGAGCTAAGATGTAAACAAATAAAAAAAACATTTTCGGTTATAAGCGATTTGGGAATTTTCAGGATCTCTGTTATTTTTCTGGCTCGAGCTCAAGATTAATGTTCGATCATGTAGCACGATTGTCCACGAG